AAAATTGGAGAAATGATCGAAGTTGTCCGGCATGTTAGCAGTGGTAACATCGCCCAAGAGCTAAAAATAGACCATAAAACTGTTTAAACTATTTACAATTGACCAGGAACGGCCAGAATTGGCCAACAGGAGAGGCCACACACATCTACGGTGACTCGCCAGAATCTTCGGGAGCTTCGTTGGGAAGTTTTAATGCATCCGCCATACAGTCCGGACTTGACACCAAGAGACAGCCAGCGTAATTAGACCAGGCGGACACAACTAAAGAGGAATTGCAAACAGAATATACTCTATCAGATAGTGGATGGTACAAAAATCTATTATTATTTTTTATTTTTATCCGCTCCTCGTATCCATCGTGTGTATGCCACTGTACAACATCATATCAATGATAGTGGTTAGACGTTGTATTATTATTGTTGGTGTTGTATTTTACAAATTGAGTTCATTATAAAAAATTACAAACCATGTAGTGTTGAAACTAGTATTAGTATCATAGAATAATCACCAGACACAAAACACACATTCACACACACACCCGCACACTCATTCATTCATTCACACGCCCACTAACACAATTGATATGATATGTTCTTTGAACTGTGAAAGTGAATCAAATCAAAACAAAGTCAGTAACACTTGAAGCACTCACACACCCACACACACACTCACACCGACATATACACATGGAAATTTAATAGCATTTGAATCTGTAGGACAAAAACAAAAAAAAATAACAAACCAAACAATGTGCAAATATTTTGAATCATACAGCCTATATTGGGGAAACGAAGAACACAACGACGAAGACGAAGAGGCGATGTTATAATAACTACCAGCAATGATGGATCACTTCCCCGGGGTAATTTTGGTTAATAAATTTTATGTTTATTTTAAAACGACAGTAACACTTTTTTGTGAGTAGTAGTTTATTAAAAAAAAAAAAAACTTTACAATTAATAATTCTCACAGCTCTGATATTTAGCTTGGCAATTTTGTTTTTCACACACTCACTCACATACATACGAGTAAATAGTTTTATTTCACTTGGCATTTAATCCACTGTGTCGAATACTTAATCTGGAAAAATTCTACATTCATTTTTGAAATACTATGGTACGTATAATTAATATTTATTTTTTATATTACATTGATTTTACGATGGAATTAAGATGATGGCACCACCCACCGACACAGATGCAAGCACATAGTCATTTCTTTAAACATTATTGCCATTTGGACCGCATTTCAACGCCACCGAAAGAATCTTTAATGTCGCAACACAAAGGACCGCCAAAAACCAACAAACAAATCTTAAACAATGTAACAACAAATTGTTGTAGTAAAAAAACAACACATTTCACAGACAATGAAAACGCAAAGAATAGAAACTAAAACGAATAAAACGAGACCAACAAAATCTAGCCTCGAATTTCAAATCAACCAGCAACCGACACGTTCAGTGTTATAAATACGACTGAGAATATTTATTGCAACGACATTTATGAATCGAATGCTCGCTCGGAACTATGGTGGTGATACATTCAACAAAATGTGTTTTGCTCGGCACTGTCCACCCACACATGTTATCACAGAGTGAGTGCATTTGCGGTGATACTCTTTCGGTTCTCTTTTGCAACACTCGCACATGCCTTGAAACAGCCTCCAGTATATTTACTCTGCATTCAATTTCCCTACAGGTTGGATTTGTAATCTCAGCTATTGTTGGCACGTTGGCCCATTAGGCATATTGACAATACTTACATTTTAATCTCAGTTCAATGCCACCTTTGGTTTCTCCCTTAGTTATTGAATAACAATAATTTCAGTGAAAAACAACAACCTACCCATAGATAAGAAAACGCTGGGCTAAGCTAAACTAGGGAACTTGTGCCTACGTTTATAGGGGGTAATCTCAAGAATTGATAACATCTAATTAAAAAATTACAAAATTACAGTTGGACCTCGATTCGGGTATTCATTTAACGGAAACCCTGATTTTGCGGAATATGTTGGGGTGCATGATTTATATTATAATCCATGCCACAACAATAAAGGTAGAAGGCACAAAAGTATCCCTCTGTCTTTAGAGGATTTTCTATTATTTCTATTATTATTACTCAATAGATAGAAGACTCCCCAGCGGAAGAGATTCCATATAGCACTACAATCCGGCTTTGTCAAATTTATGTGAGATTTACAAAATTTCAAAACATTGAACCTTTATATAGTTAGTGATTCAATATCAGGATAAATAAAAAATACTGCAAGAATCTACTACATACTAGTTTTTACTATTTTGTTTGATATCTTAAAGGAAAATTTGTTATCGTAGTAAATAGTAGTAGATTATTGCAGTACAGGAACAGACCAATTAGGTTGTGCAAAGTATTGTTCATATCGGATATTCCGTTCGAATGATATTAAAAAAATAATTTTTAGCAAAAATTTTACCATTTTATGGTAGATGAGGAGGAGGAAAGAAGTGGATCAATAATCCCCACATTCGAACTTCATCTAAGTTTGAAAGAAATATCATTATGTGCAAAGTGTGGATGAAATTGATTACTCGTACGCAACAGCCAGCTGGTTAGACTGACGAACAATTGTAAATCGACTCCAGATTGTCTGCAACGATAATACTATGAGTCGCATTTTTGTATATAATGGACATTTTGTATAACCCTTTCAGGCCTAATCAAATGTGAGATCTGACAATTTTTTGGGCCCAGGCCAATGGTCTTGGAGTAAACCCCAAGGAGAAAGAAATTGTTCTCTTCATTAGAAAACTAAAGATCCCAAATTTCTGTTTGCCATCTTTGGGTGGAGTTACTTTAATCCTTTCCTTAGAAGCAAAATATCTTGGTGCAGTCCTTGACCACGGGCTAATATTGAAAAGGAATGTTGAGGATCTCACTAGGAGAGGTCTAATAGCACTCTACTCTTGCAAGAATTCTATACGTAAAAGTTGGCCCTTAAGGCACTTAAAAGCGGTTATTAATTGCAAACGTGCTCTGAATTCTATACGACAGATAATTAAATTATGTTGGTTTCCAGGACAAAGTAGGTTCACAGACGTTCAATTTACCGATTGGCTATTTCATTTGCAAAATCCGTATGAGGTACTGCGAGAAAGTCTGTAACAGATGGTCAACAGAACATGGGGATGAGGAGGAACTGGAAACAATTGAACACATACTCTGTAGATGTCCATCGCTATGTAGCAGAAGACACAGACAGTTTGGAAAATATGAAATTGATAATCTAGCCTTCATCTCCGAAATAGATCCCAAAAAGATCCTTAGCTTTGTTTAAATCCTAAAATAAAAAAAAATTACACTCTTTAAACTTCCTGACTGAGGGTATAACGTGGGTCCATTATACCAAGGGACATGCCGAAATTCTTAAATAAGGCGATAACGTATATGCCCGCAACTTCGTTTGCGCTTTTTAGAAGGATATTACTATTTAAAAAGACAATAATGTAAATTTGCTATTCTTTGTGCCAACACTCAGTATTGTCTGAATTTGTAATTAACAGGGATATTCAAATTTCAAAATTCCACTTAAATTTATTCCATTAAAAATAATGGCCACGAATTGCATATTATTTACTACTTCTTTGTATTTATGGTACGAATTTTAAAACCAACACACGAATAGAAATACCTACACCAAGTTTCAGCTCTCTACCGTCAACACTCAGTATTGTCTGAATTTGTAATTAACAGGGATATTCAAATTTCAAAATTCCGCTTATATTTATTCCATTAAAAATAATGGCCACAAATTGCATATTATTTACTACTTCTTTGTATTTATGGTACGAATTTTAAAACCAACACACGAATAGAAATACCTACACCAAGTTTCAGCTCTCTACCGTCACGCAATGTACTAAATTTGGTACTATTTAGCACTTTTTGCATAACTTAAGTGTGGTTTCTAATAGCGATCTACAAGATTCTAACTCTAGTCGTTTACAAAATGCACTAATGTTAAAGATTCAATCTACATTCGCATTCTTAGTGTACATTCTTTAGTACAATAAATAAAATATCATAATCTAGTTGGCCTCAGATTTGCGCACTTGTGATATTCCTACGAAAGGTTATGCTCCATATTTAGTTAGTACTATTGACACTTAAACCTGATCAATTTCCATATAATCTCTGTTCATTGACTCAATAACAAAAGTACTAATTTTAGTACATACTTTCCGTACATATAAAAGACTAATTTCGAAAAGGCTCTTTATATTCATCCTAACTAATATAACTTTTAACGATTCATTCACTCAAAACCAAGTGTACTAAATTGAGTGCCATTTAGAACTTTTTTGTATACACTAATAGTACACCAACCACTCGTCTCACCCCTATACAATAAAGGATGAATCTTACTAGAATAAATTTACCGAGTAACATTCAGTAAGTTCTCAGTGTAGAATTGTCAAACGAGCTCTCTCTTTTCGCTCTATTTCACTGGACTTCGGAATAAACAAACATTCAATAACATTTGATAAAAATGTTTACCAAATCTCGAGTAAACATGCACAAAAGCCGTCACAAAATATTGGTTTTCATTTTTTGATAGCTGTACAGTTTTTGAACAATGGACTTAGGTTACCGTCTTTGTAAAAGGCAAAATGAGTAAAACCACGATTTTACTTGTTACTCTGAAACTATTATAAGATTTAATGAATAAATACATTTGTATCATTTGTGTATTTGCTAAGGACTATAGCAAAATGTTAACATATATAAAATAGTGTCTGAATGACTGAACTTTATCACAAAGTCCGTTACATTGGTAATTTGCCGAACCAAACTGTTCTACAGTATTATGATTTGTGATTCAGTTATTTGGCTAATAATATCTATATATATTTACATGATTCTGTGTGGTATTATTTGCTTACGCAAATATACATCAGAAACAATGAAATAACAAAAACTTATATTAAACTTTACGATATAAAAAATAAGCTTCCTTCCATCTTAATCACCCAATTGGGGTACTTTGAATATTTTAGCAGAGTTGTCTTCAGATACAGTCAGCAGCAATGACTCTTTAGGATCATAAGCAAAGGAATATACTTCAGCCAAATGACCGGATAAGGTAAATTTCTTTTGACCACTACGAGCATCATAGGCTACAACATTTCCCTGTAGTGTTGATACCAAAATTGTGAAATCGCCAATCCATTGGATTCTGAAAGAAAAAAAGTTTCGTATTAAGTACGTGTGTAACTTATTGCACAAGAGTGTGAAAATCTTACTTGGTAACACCATCATCGGTATTCTCGCATTGTGTACGCAAAGTCAACTTCGAGTAATCCCAAATTGCAACTTGACCACTTAAAGTTCCACTGGCAGCCATACGAAAATCGGCTGATGGGGAAAATGCTATACATTCGACAGCACCATCCGCATCAACTGTACCAACCGGTCCGTTCGGAGTACTGAACACAATTTTACCTAGATCAAAGTATAGCAGCATTAGAGACACGTGGTTGATGTGAGTTACAAATTGAGAACTTACCATTTTCTCCTCCTGAAGCATATATTGGGAACTCTTTGTCGCAGCTAACCGTGGTGGAGCCCTCCTGGTGCACCATGGGATGTTGCTCATCAATTTCCATTACAGCTGTTGTGGATTTAATATCCCACAATTTCACAGTGCCATTATTATAGGCGGTAAACAGCTTCTTGCCATCGTTAGTCAAATCACCCGCCTCACAGCGCGTTCCCTGGCCGGGTAAGATTTTGCAGTCCCCAGCTGGCAAACGGAATACATAAATTTCACCGTCTTCACTGCCAGCCATCAACACGTTGGCTGCCTTATGCCAACGCATCCAAGACATATCACCCATGGAGTATTCCCATACTTTACGTAAAGTCAGACTACCCTCCTTGTCGCCATTACCACTACCTTCTTGTATTTTGTGCAAGAAAATCTCACCGGCCATGTCGCCACTAGCCAAATATGTACCGTCATGATTGAAGTGAACTTCTATGACTGTGTCTTTGTGCTCAGTGATTTCATGTATCACCTCACCGGTATTTCGGTTCCATACAAAAACCTTATCATCTTCTCCTCCTGTGGCACACAAATCATTTTGGGGATGAAGTGCACAGGCAAATACTGGCGCTGAATGTTGTTGGAAAGTGTAGACGGCATCATCCTGTACGGGAGATTTTCGTTCGTCTTCTTCGTCGGAACCGTAATCGCCGCTTCCCAGACGGGCTTCTAATTCCTCCAGTGTAACTTCCTCCATTTCCAAGTCGTCTTCATCCTCTGGTGGGGCATCATTGTCCAAATAGATTTCTTCGGCATCTTCGTCGATGTCTGCTGGTCTGGGAGGTGTATTCTGACGCATTTTTCTACTAGAAAAGTTAATTAATCTACACTAAAATAATACCAACGAACGAATGACTGACAGAGCTATGTTGTTTATGTCCGACCGACAACTGTCAACACGTGTTTTATAGGGACAGCAAAGTCGAGTCTCCAATCGATATATTGGAATGAAAATCTGAATGGAATGGTCGATTTTTTGCTCGTGAATAATAATCGGATTTCAAATTGAAATCTATACAAATGTGAAACAGATTTTCTCCAAAGAAACTTAGGGTCTAAAACTTATAGTTTGATTAGGCACATTTTTATAGAAGCAAAGTGTAGGGCGTAGCTACCAACTAATTGTCTCCCAAACATGGATTAAGTTGGAATATGAGAAATATCGATCCACAACTTGTGGAGTATTCCCTACGAAATGGTCCCTCACCACAAAGACACAAACTTTATACCGAATTTCATTCAAACTTGACACATCGAAATATTGTTGTTAGTCCGAATATGAGGTCAAAGTGTAAAAAAAAAACAATATCAAATGAATTTAGTGTCCAATTTAATCCATACATTCCAAATCGTAATAATTTTACTAAACCAAAATCAAGTTCGAAAATACCAACATTCGGTTCGCTACCCAACAAAGTGAAATTTTGATACATAATTGGGCTGTTATAGAACCATCAAAAAAGGAACATCTTTTTGAAACGACAAAAATTAGTCCTTTTTGGTATCAATATATAGTAAAAATTAGTGCATTCTTGTAGATCTGTTACCTGTAGCCTATTTCCATACTGCAAGAATCCACATGTGACAATTGCTCTGTACCAAAAACTGTAAAAATCTTCTATAATCGAAAATTTGTTTATTTTTCATATGGAAAAAAATAGTAAAAATTTATAGATTCTTACAGTACGAGAACAGACCATTAAATAACAAGTTTTACCACATTTGCAGTTCGGGTCTGTTCATGCACTCAAAAACTGGAGAATTTTTTAAATTTCGGTCTTTTCCCGTATAGCAATAAATCTAAACCAAGTTGGATTAATTGAAGATTCTTGAAAGCCTTGTTAAATACACATTTTTTTTTAATTATCAGTATATTCGAATAACGATTCCCTAATTTATAACAAATTATATTAAATTAATTTCTTTATAACTCTTTGACACACATTTTTGATTTGTTACAGAAGCTGCAAGAATCATTATTGGCAAATGGCTTGTTAAAGAAATCCACAGAATATTTGTGGATGGTTTTCTTTTTATTAATAATGTCACAACTTTCACAAAAGAAGGATTCAAGCAATGGTTATGTAACAATTTTATTTTAGGGCCCCGGGACCAATACAGGCTAAGTGACAATATCTCAAATATTTTGTGGGAAAATAAAACTGAATCTCCCTCTCATAAATGATACAAAACTTACGATACATTGCCAAACTGACACTCAACCACAACCACTTCACTGAAAAAGTTTCAATTTTCCCTTCCGACTAAAATAATTTTTTATTTTACCTTGCAAAATTTCATATAATTCTTCACATAAAATATTTTTAGGAGAAAAAATAATAAAAATAAAATATTTAATTGGTAAAATATCATTTATGACTGCGTTGATTTGAAAGAAATGCCAAATGGCCTTTGGGACATTTGTTTGCATAGTGACCCTTATTTCCACATTTGTAACACGTAATTTCTTCCAATGGTTTCGACATCTTTTGATACATGGGACCATTATTTTGTGGTCTAGTATTGGATGATGGTGGCTCTGTATTTTCATTTGTGCCCGCATTGGATGATGTTGACTCCTGAGAATCCCGTTGTTGCGTATTTGGATTAGTTTGGTTAGGAGGTGGCTGATAATGAGGATATCGCGGATTAGGTGGTGGCCTGTTCATTTGTGCATCAATAGTATTATCGGGATTGTTTTTACACAATGACGCTTTATGTCCAAATTCACCACAGAAGTGACATGTGGGTATTTTCTTTTGAAATTGTTCTTTGCTGGCTTCTGCACTTGGAGGCAGCTCGAAACGGGGATGCATATGTTTACAATTCCAGCCATTCGGACAAAAACCGGCCAAGTAATTCATGCACAGAACTCTACGAACATGACGATGTCTACAGTGTGGACCATGCCGGCAAAAGCCTCGATCATACCAGGGACAGTCTTTAATTTTACTTTCGGGATCGATGTGCAGGAATGGACATTCTTTGTTGTGGCAGGCATTGAATCGTGAATAGAAAAAACACTCCGGCATTTTCTTCATATCGAATTCGTGCAGAAACTCGCATTGATCGCCCTTTTTGCACAGACCGCGCAGCCAATGTTTACAAACAATGGTACGATCTCCGCGGATGTGACGGAAAGGGCACATCGCTCCTCTAGTACATTCTTCACCGTTCTTTGAGTTGAGAAGGCATACAGCGGCCACTGATTTGTCCATGCCAAAGAACGGAAGGGGTATCGCTCCAACCTGTTCCGATAGGTCCCTCTCCACTTTGAAATATATGTGGTTTACATTTGCCAATATCATATCCATGTTGATAGATGAATATCCACACCGGGCACTGATTCAACCGAAAATTAAAAGGACAACAATAATAGAGTTGGGTAGTTCCGGAACGAACTAGTTCATTGGAACTATTCCGAAAAAGGAACGAACGGAACTAGTTCCAGTTCTTTAATTAATACAATTCCTTTCTCTGATCCAGTTCCTTTTTTGAACTATTTGAAGCAAAGGAACTTTATGGAGCAAAGGAACTATAAAGAGCAAAGGAACTATATGGAGCAAAGGAACTATTTGGAGCATAGGAACTATAAAGAGCAAAGGAACTATATGGAGCAAAGGAATTATATATGGAAAAACGAAAAAAAGAATGATGAAAGAGAGAGATTCAAAAGAACTATGTAGGAGTCGGAACTATATGGAGCAAAGAAATTGTATGGACTAAAGGAATTATATGGAGCAAAGGTACTATATGGATCAAAGGAACTATATGGAGCAATGGAACTATATATGGAAAAACGAAAAAAAAAAATAATAAAAGAGAGAGATTCAAAAGAACAGTGGGAAGCCTCCAAGACTCCAGCCTTCATAAAATTCGCTTGTTAATCGTCGTTCTGCCAAGACTCAAGCGACGTCGTACGCAAACCTTCGCCAACAAATGGTCTGTTCCAGTACTTTTTATACCCTCCACCATAGTATGGAGGGTATATTAATTTTGTCATTCCGTTTGTAACTCATCGAAATATTCATATAAAGTATATATATTCTTGATCAGGGTAAAATTCTTCTGAAGTCAAATTTTGGGTAGGCAGGTCATTCCACAAAAATTATAAATATAGGTCCACTTTTTCTTGTAGCCTCCATATAACGGTACCTCCTAATTTTCAGTATTTTTTGGGTTTTTATCGTATTTTTCACCGAATCTGTAATTTAGTACAAAAAATTTAAATATAAGTCAATTTTTTCGGATATCCCCCATATAAGGGTACCCCCCAATTTCGGTATTTTGGGGTTCTTGAGCGCGCTTTTCAACCGAATTCGCTGCAATTTTGTACATTGGGTTCATATTGCGTACCAAATATCTCTACTAAAAATTATAAATATCGGCCCACTTTTTCTGGTAGCCCCCATATAAGGGCACCCCAAATTTTCGGTTTTTTGAGGTTCTTAAGCGCGATTTTCAACCGAATTCGCTGAAATTTGGTACAGTGGGTTCATATTGGGTACCAAATATCTCTATTTAAAATTATAAATATCGGTCCACTTTTTCATTTCAAATACCTGTCAGTATACCTGTGGTGGAGGGTATCCAAAGTTCGGCCCGGCCGAACTTAACGCTTTTTCACTTGTTTAATAGTAAAGCTAGTAAAAGGGAAACATTTCAAGTCTCAGAGTACAAAATAATTTGAAAAGTTCGGGAACGCAAATCTAGTAAATATGCCAAAGTTAGATGGCAATACTTCAAAATCAACATAACAGCCAATCAGAAGTAGGCTTTCCTGTTTACCATTTTTATTCGGACAAATTTTTCGAGAAAAAGGTTTAGAAAGAGAAAGCCATTTTGTTACCAGTTTTATGGGTTCAGGAACGGTTTTCGAGTAAAAAATAAAAACGACGACAGAAAAAATTGAAAAACGTTCCACCTGCTAACGAATGGGAGGAGAAGACAAAATGGCAGATAAAGATGAACTCAAAATGGTATAACCGAAAGTTTACGAATGAGGTGGGATAGAGACTAAATGGAAACCGTGTTGTTTACGAATGAGGTTTAGGCAAATTATGATTAGGGATAAGTAAATCGACTTTCGATTAGTTGACTTTTTTGCAAGGTAAATTTTATAAGGTAGATGCAAGATCTATTAATATGGTCACCGAGATAGCAATCGAAATCGGAAAACAGCTGTTTTTTCTCAAATCTAATGTCGAAAATTTCGACTTTGTTTACGTTTTCATAATGGAAGTCAATTCACAATAATGCATTTTGACAGCAAACTTGAGAGGTATCGATAATCAGCTGGGCTCCCTGGGTGACCTTATTTAAAGGCCATGGGTAGATGCATCAACTATCGATTACATAAAAAAATTGTAGAAATTTGATATGTCAACATATTTTGAAAAAAAATTATGTGTTCCCGTACTGCAATAATCTAATATTTTTTACTACGACAACAACTTTTCCTTTATAATATCGGTCAAATATCCCTCAATTAATAATATTGACAATTAACAATAAGGTTTGCCGCCCATTTAAGGGCTAAGCAGAATGCTCGCGTTGAGCGTTTTTTGTTATCGCGTTAACGCACGCAAAAAGTTAAAATATATTTAACTCCGAAGCGCAACGCACATCAACCTCGAGCGTTTGTGTTATCGTTTCCTTGTGGTTGTTGTATTTTCGATAACATATAACCCGACGGATATGCATTTGTGTTATCGTATCCCTGTGGTTGTTGTATTTTCCATAACATATAACGTGACGGATGGCTCAACGCGAGCATTATGCTTAGCCCTTAAGGTAGTTGGCAAGACAACGCTTGATATCACTAGCTGATTGGGGCCATTCCTCGCTGATTGCGGCCATTCGCAATCTTTGATGTAATTGCTTGCAAAGCCGATGTTGTGCTATAAGTTTCCCTGAAACCAAGTTAGTGGGTAGCAAGAACGAAATGCCGTTTCAGGGACGAAAGCATTGGCGATTCTAAAACGATTCTAAGATTCAGGGAATAATCAGTTCAACTTTCCAAATATCAGAAATTATCAAATATGATATCGAGAACTCGAGAATTTTGGTCATATAACCCAAACTTCTTTAACATAAACATGAATATGCCATCTGGACCAACGATTTTGGATGGCTTGGATTTGGAGATAATTCCCTCTACCTCGCTGGGAGTGAATGATAGGGGCTACAAAAATCTTGCCCACAGGCAACAAAATGTTTTAGAGCTTATATATATAATTTGGATTTCATATGTCAAGACCTGATTATAGACGACACATATCAAAACAAAAATCAAAATTTTGGTAAAGTTATGACCTTTTCTATATAGAGAAGAGGTAAATTTGTGTACAGAACTAATTTGTGTATACAGTCCAAATTATTTAAATCGCTTCTGGCATCAGAATTATTTTTTTTTCTTGTAAAAATTAATATAGAGAATAATTTAAAATGATTTTTTTTGTCGATTTTGAATTTGGTTTTCTTGATATTGGACTTTAATTTTTCCGAAAAAATGTACTGTATCTCCCGAATGCAAGGATGCAGCGATGTCAAATTTTGTGCATATCTTATTTAGGATAGTTCCATTAAATCTGTGAACAGAAATTTCTTCTATGATTGCGGAAAAAATTCGGGGCTCAAAGGGTTAAACATTGTTGGATCTCCTGACAACGGTTCGCTTGATCCTGTTCTGCGAAGACGACTTGAAAGAAATAGTAGCGAAATTTCTATTTCTTTTGGAACCACCATAGCTGCTTAGAATTTATATTGCAGTGGTTACGGTGTTCTCACCATTTAGAGCACTTATACTCAAGGACTAGAGCATCTATTTCAGCGCTTAGCTGCGAGCTTCTGTCGTAAGCGGGGCTTTCGGCCAAACTGGAGGCCCTGGATGGTTTGTCTCATCAGATGAATTCCGCTTTTAGAATCTTCACCCTTTCAGGCAGATACGGGTGGCGACATAGGACTTAAGGAGTACTCAATGAATTTTGTGAAGCCGTGGCAGTTTTATGATAATTCATGAAAGTACGCTGAACGGGTTTATGAAATCGCAGTCAATTCGGTTGGGAAACGTGCCAAAAATCCAGAATATGTGGGGGGAACCATTATATAGAGGGCAATGTTATATAGAGGCTATACCAAAACGTTAACCGATATATATATATATATATAATACCATTTTCAATGCCAAACATCCTAGGAATAGTAACAATGTATGTGCAAAATTTCAAACCTCTAACTTAAAACTCTTTCATGATTTCAACAGACGGACATGTATAAATCGACATCAATATCATTCGGTCTTGTGTGAATATTTCGAGATGTTGCAAATGGAATGACAAATTCAATATACACTCCACATTAACTTTAAAAATTATAACGGAAAATTGTATTGTTGCCAGATGCAAATATCAGCTCTGTTTCGATAAATTTCTTCAATTTAAATAGTTTCTTGATTACATGTTATCGATAAATTGCGATATTTTGTCTTACATCACTAGAACAATACAAAAACTTCATAATTTTGCGAGCGAATTAATGGTGGGTGTTTTCTTTTCCGAAGTAAATTGGAAATTATTTAGAATTTTATGTAAAAAGCATATTCAAAAGATTTTTTGATGAATAACCTCCGTAAAATATTTTTCCTGAGTATAAATTAAAATACGGTTAATTAAAAAGACACGAAATAATGGCGAATGGAAAAATTGGCAAATCAAGTGCACCAGACAAAGGAGCAGGCAAATGCCTTTACAACAAATGAACACAAAAAGAAAATATGAAAATTGTGTGATGACAGAGAGCAAAAGAATCCAACCAACCATCCCATCCATCCAATTGGCAAGTGAAGTGAATGTTCTTGATTCTTTTCTGGTGTGAATGTGCAAAAATCTGTCTGTATACAAGTGTGTGTGTGCGTTTGTGCGGATGTGTGGCCCCTTGGTATGGATGGTGCGCTGCAAGTGTATGTCGTCGATGTGTTCTAAGTGGACAGCCAATAAAATGAAGAAAAAAAGAAACGGTGGTTGAAAACTTCTATATTGTTGTTGACAGGACGGACTATCCTTATGTGTACTTGGAGTTGTAGTGTCGGTGATGACATCTGTTCGGCGACGATATTTTTTTCTTGTTCATATAAGGTATACGGTTTTCGGTTCAAGGTGGTGCACCTGTAAACACCTGCTTGCAAATTGAAATAAACAAAAACAAAGAGGCAATCGGTAACAGAAAGTTATTGAAAAATTCGGAAGTTTTTAAAAATTGTCATTAATACAAATATACATAAAGTTAGAAAGTTTTTAATTGTTAACAAATCGTTCATTATTAGTTAATACATTTTTGGTCAGTTTGGTAATTATTGGTGGTCAAAAAGTGTTTTAGTTGTTTGTGTCTGTCTTTTGCTCACATGTTGGAAAATAAATTCTCATTTATTTATCTTATTGGATTGGTGTGTGAGAGAGAGAGGGAGATTGGAATGTTTTCAATGTGAACAAAGAGAAGAGAAATATGGTTCTTTGTTAGTGCTGTGAAAAAACAAACGGTTATTGAACTGCTAACAGCTGTGAAATAAATCGGTTATCGAACTGCTAACAAAAATGAATTTTTAAAATGTTTAACTTAATATTTAATAATTAATATATTCGAACAAAACATCTATGAGTTCGAGGAAAAAAGGACTCAACCCATGTGTATGCCACTGTAGACGTGACATAACAAACAACACAAATTATCGTTCGTGGATCATTTTGGAATTCATAGGGGTCCTGACTCCATGAGCTCACTAACCCCAATGTGGGGATTGACAATGTCACTATCGAATTTCGAATGGCACGTTCATATAAAATATCTATAGGAAAATACACGGAGTTGTCAACAGTCGCACAGTGGGTTGAGCGGTAGGCAAAATGGCGATTAATTCAGGAAAGCCGTAATTTTAAAATATTGTTATTTTTTATTGATGGATATTCATAAATACATAATGTTTCAATATTTTATGGCCTTTTTTGTATTTTGGAAAAAGTGGTTTTATATAACAATTTTCGCTATAACTAATCAAAGAAAAATGATAAATTAGGAAATGCAATTAAAAATTAGAGCATACTTAATGTGCTTTTAGGAAAAAAGAATTGTTCTTAAAAAATAAAAATGAATCAATATTTTATCTGTATTTATATACCCAAAATTTTAAATTAAAATCCGATTTTTTCTTCAAATTCCATAATTCTACATATTTAAAAAAAGTTACATTAGAAAATATTAATATATCTTATTGATCAATATTCATAAACAAAACCCATATTATAAAAATAAAACAAACAACCATTACAGGAAAAAATAGCTAAAAAATATAATTGTACGGTTTTTTATTTACTTCATTTCATTAATTTTAACAGTATTATTAATTTCATAATCATCATTTACTTCCCAACAACTATAAAATTTACTTAATAATAATCATTTATTTGTTAGTCATCATACAATTCGTTAAAATAATCTTCATCTTCGTCACCATTAGCATTTTCCTTTTGGGTAAGGATAAGTAAGTCTAAAGCAGTCTGAGACATTTGCTGTATTTTCTTTTTACAACTCTTCCTCTTGCTCGAAATAAATGGATCTGAACTTAAAAGTAATCTATTGTATTTTCCCCGACTGAATTTACTGGAAAAGTGTTCTCAATAGTGTTCCCAAAGTGTTTTGAAGTCTTTATTTCTGGCTTCCTAAGATTCTTCATTTAGCTGGGTTATTTTACAAATTCTTTAATAAGTCAAAAAATGCACCAAAGCGGCAAAAAGTTTTTCTGGAATTTATAAGCTGAAACTTCATATTTTAAGAAAATATAAGCAGTTTTACTAAGTTTCACTGATAATTCAGTTATGTACTACCTTGTAATAATTATACCATAATACTATCGCAATTACCTTGGTCAAATTTAACTATTTCCACATTAAATTATATATTTGGTGGCATACTGCAAGGTCCTGGTGTTTATTTAGTAACCGATTACTCATTACGTTTAAAATATTCCTTCACAGCACTAACTTCAATCAAATAAGAATTATTTTCCCTTCTTCTCTTTGTCTATATCTCCCTCTCTCTTAACACAACCAAACAGAAACACATTGAAGAGAAGAGAACAACGTTTTGTTGTTATTAGCTTTGACAGAAAACAACTTGGCTAAAACGACGAACTACTATAGAGCTTGTCGACCACTATTGTTTCACACTCAAGTGCCTTATACCGATAGTGACGCATACATACGGTACGACGCGCGGACCACGGTCGGCCAACAAAGGTGCGGATAAATACGTTAACAAGAATAGAATAATAAACGAAGAAAACAAATTAAAACAATATAAGAACAAAAACAACAACAACAAACAACACAACGTCGTCGTCAAATGCTAAGTTCATTATCATTGTAACACACACATGTACATGGGCATACGTTTGTGTTTTTGTGTCTGTATCAAACACAAGAATTAGCCAGAGTAAAGAAAACAGTTTCTTAAAAGAAAATCCCCAAAAAGAAAAAAAAAACGAATGAAAAAATCAATTTTTGTGAATTCGGAAATAAAAATAACGTAGAAAAATAAAAAGCGAAAATAAAATTGTGCGTGCAAACGTGCGTTTCGTTTTTGGCCAGTTTAGTGCCCTTGGTCGCGATATATGTGTCGATCGAGATCGATTCGCAACGACGGCGACGACTACGGCCAACGACTCATTTTCAATTTGTAAAGAATCTATTTGACAAGATATTGCCAGTCAGTCTGTCTGTCTTGTTTTGTTGTTTCGTGGCCTGCGGTTTGGCCCCTCAGAGTATTTTGTTGGTCGTTTAATATTGAAAATCAGCGAGCGCGTACACGATATTCGGTGGTGGTTAATGGAATGAGAATTGAGTGAAGAATTTGCCTTGAACGAATAAAAAATACAATTATTTTTGATTTCTTTTTGTATGAATTCTGAATTTGTGATTAATTAATAAAAATTACTGCAATAAGTGAAATCGAAATAGAATTGTTGTTAAATGTTGATGGCCGCCGTTACGCCAAATTTGTGTTTTTGAATTTCTTGTGAACTGAACTGGACTGTGAATGCAACAATTGCCAATTGTGTTTAAAAAAAATTAATACAAAAAAATATTATTGTGTTCTTTTGTTGAATGATTAACATTTATATGGTTAATAAGTTTTTAATTTCTAAATGGATTCCAGCACATTTCCATTTCCGGTCCAACAAAGCTATGAAGCCGCCAGCCAACAGCAGCCATCACCAATAAAGCGACATCTATGAATGGCTATGTCAGGCTAAGGGTTCCTAACAACAAAAGAGCCTGCTAGCTGCAATGTTGCTGGACGAAATGTTGCATAAACATTGAAGGACCATCGAAGAAAAACATTTGTTGCCACGTATCCTAGACAACAACCCGAAACAGCTCTCTTACGGATTGTGCTTAAAATTAATAATTAAAAAAAATCATACGAACGAATTAGAATTGGATATAGTTAAGGATAAGAAACTGAATTCATATCAAAACACCAAAAAAGAAACTAATTGGAATACGAAAAAAGAAACCTTCCCAATAAAAGGATAACCAAATAGAAGAAGAAGACAAAGAAGAAGAAGTTAATGGATTTGTGGCAAACATAAGTGATACAACATAACATTATACACCCCTTACCCACATAATTAGTTTAGATTAACGCACAAAGAATATTTCGGTAGCAGTGGTCACGCCAAACCCTTGACACCTTTACATTTCATTTTCTTCACACTCATCGCACACACTGCGTATTCTCAAAGAGGCCAACGACAAACAAACACCAACCACTAGACTACGACTACCACTGGTATCTTTGTACTTGATTAAACCAACATCAAAAAAAATATGACATCATATGCCACGTTACGCGACAATGTAAAGTCGCGTGAGGAAGACACCACATCCAATTCTAATTTTGCAACACCTTCAACACCACCACCCGAAGATTTGGCCACCGCCGCGGCGGTACACATGAAAAAAATGGCTGCACCCCTAACACCAGACTCCTTTTCGGAAAGTGAACGCGAGAAAATGGACTCGACACCGGAGAATATCAAAAAGATCGATGATGTCATTAATGATAACCATCAACGTCTGCATCATGGGAATCAACAAGCGGTCGATGGTGGTGGTTTGTCACCCCGTTCAGAACGTTATACATCGAGTTTTGTACCAATTGGTCTGGCCGCAGCTGTAGATGACTCAAATGCTAAACTCTGTCTTGCCAAGCCACCCGTATGCATCAATCCAAAAGGTAAAAAATAGTAGAAAAAATAGAAAAAAAAACAAAAACGATTTATGCAAATCAGCAGCAGTCGCTATTATTTTTGTTGCTGTTTAAATAACACTAACATTTCTTGGTTGTTTCTGTCGTATTAACACATTTATTTATCATTATTTATTGTGTGTGTTTTTATTGTTGTATTTTTTTATTCCTGTTCATTTGTTGCGCTATTGCCAATTTTAAAAGTTGGCTTTTTGTAACTGACTGTGGTTGACTATTGTTTACTATTTCTCAGCTTGGTGCTTTTTTTTTCTAATGTTAATTATCTATGCATGCCACACACAACCCCTCTGTTATTGTCAATTGTCTGTCAGTCTTTTGTTCAGTTGTGGAATTCCAATCCTTTTTTTCTCTCTCTTTTTGTGTCTTAAAACTGTCATTGTTAAATTGAAAGGGCTTAGTTTTGTAAGGTTTGTTATGCCAATGGGAATTGTTTTTGTAGTCGACTTTTTTCTTAATAAAAATAAAATGTAAGGTAAATATTCAGATTGTTTCGATGATACCGGTTAGAAAATATAGGTCACCTAACTCTTACAGATTTATTGTGAGAATATTTAAGATAGTTATGGTCTATAGACGTTCTTTTGGTTCTCTGGAAATCAATGTATAATTTCTTTTGGCATGCTTTGCATTGATTAACCTGTATTAATGTTATTGTCTGGTATTATAATCTATCAAACGATATTTAAATAATTATATTTTAATAATATTAAAACTTAGAATCCTGCTTGTGCCGTATGTATATACCTGGTCTCTGGTCAGTTACAGAATCACACGACAATTAAAAAAATATTAACTTTGTTTTGATTTTGCTACTCAAATCAACAAAAATAGAGCAACAATTATTGTGTATTTCCTTTGTCATGATATTCTCTTACATAAGTTAACTGAACTAATTTATTAAAACAAAATAACGAAAGATTATCAACAAATAATAATTAAAATACAACTCGAGGCGATAACAACAACAAACAATTGAATGTGTGGAACTTTTCTAGTTTATTGACCAATGAGTAGCTACTTGATTTGAATCAAATTAAAGTTAATAATTCCTCTAGATGAATTCAGTTTTAGCAAACATAACGTGGAAATTGAAAATATCCAAGGGATATGTCGAACTACTGCGATTCCATTGTTTTGATGTGTTATTTGTATTATGCCTTGTAAGGGCAGTGATCATTTGAATGAAATTTTAAATGAGTTATTTATACTCTTTCGATTCGAGCTTAATGATCTTAGTTTTGCAATGAACAGGAGAATGTGTGGTGTACTGTTGCCGTTTGCAGCTGGTCAATCGGAGACATTTGTCCTGAAAAAAAGATGTAAAGGAAAGTGGGAAAAAATTGGGTAGATCAAGTTTAAAAAGGTAGAAATTTTAGTTACTTTTGCCATGTCAGAATTTGAACAGCGCTAAGGATCTTGTCGGGGTTAATTTTTGGGAAGAAGTCAAAATTATCGCCTACGGAGTATATCTTTAATAGTTTCCAGCTCCTCCTCATTCCTCACATAGGCAATAAATTTCGTTATTGTCCCATTTGGATATGAGAGATCTATAAACTACCTCAAGTTCTTTTCATTTATTTTACAATGTCCTAGAACCCAACAATGTTTAACTCTCCGTCGTATAACATGAAAAGTACTTTTGCAGCCAAGAACTTCAGCTTTCGTGATTGCTAGGATTTCTTCCTGAAATCGCTGCAGAAATCGTTAAGTTTATATGAGTTACTAGCAGACCTGGCAAACGTTGTTTTGCCTTATCAGAATTGCATCAACATAGGGGTGGTAAAAATTAACGAATTATAGAAAATATATTTCAGAAAAAAATATGCATAATATTTTCCTCAATATTAAATTATGTCCGTATGTGTGGTATTTCAGTTTATCAATTGGTCGAACTTATTCTTATTCGATTACTTCAATCTCCGACTTTTTTATGTTTTTCTCAAAATTTTCTTTGGTAAAACTCTTCCTACTGCAATTAAAAACAACCAAAGGAAAATGTACCATGTCACATCATGAAAGACATAACAAAGTATGTATAAAAAAAATAATATAAATTGTTTGTATAGTATCACTTTATGGTATATGTGCCACATAATGGTATGCAAATCGGTCCAGCCGTCCTTTAAAATATGGTTTTCAAGAAAACAGGTTATGTATGAATCAGAGTCGGAATACTTAACGTCGGCACACGTCGATTAAGCACCCAATCTCTAATCGGGAAAACACAAAGAATATATATAGCGCGTCATCTGTCGGATGAACTTAAAAATAAACAGAAACACTCCTCACGCCCCATAGAGGATATACACAAAGTTTGGTCAAAATCAATGCAGCAGTTTTTGATTTACGGTGCAAAAACACAAAAAAAAAAAATAAATATTGCGTCATCTGTCGGATGAACTTCAAACTACACAGAAACACTCCTCACGCCCAATAAAGCATGTATATAAAATTTGGTCCAAATCGGTGAAGTAGTTTTTGAGTTTAGCGATCAGGAACATACACGTAATCAATTTATATATATATATATATATATAAAGAGAGAGATATATGGCTAGTTCCTTGCAGTAAACACCTGCTTCAGTGCTTACTCCGTCTTCGACCCGGAGCCACTTTCACAGGATTCCCAGCGACTTCGACGTGTTCGTTTCCCGAAGTTTCAGGACACATCTTGAAAGATCAAGATGTATGTTTCTTATCTGAAGGAATGTGACAACCGAGCCCAATAAGGGTTATTTCTGCCTTCAATTTTTCCGACCTCAACTCCAAAGACCAATATGTATTCAATATGTATTTTTGAATACATCTCTAGTGTACTGTTAAGCTAGAAATTGGGCCCATTATCACGATTGTCAATAAATAAACCTCCAGCATTGTAACGGACTTCGTCAAGTCTCTTCGAGGTTAAAAATATCATTAAAAGTTATCAAGATTTTTATTATTTTCATCAACTCTATATCAAGTTCTTTTCTATCTTTTGTAGTTTTTTTTTCAATGTCCGTTTTATCGTTGCCATTCATAAAAAAACATAAAATTTAGTGTTTTTATGCAATTTTTATGTGCACATGGGCGTGTGTGTTTGTTTAACTAATTATTTATGGGTTAGCAAAATATTTATTTTGGAATTGAAACCACAACAACAAAATTCGCGAAATTTGTAGCAAAGAAATGATGTAATTACTGACATCTATGAATAATAGTGAGTAATGCAGTTTTTGTTGTTTCGACTGAAATGTTGAAAGTTTGTGACTCCAGCAAAACATTTTTTTAATTAAAAAAGTAAACTAAACTGTGATTTTATTTCCATCATTTAAAGTGCAAAAATGATTAATATTATTTTCAAATTCAGTTAACCCATTTGATAAGAACAACCTCCCCTCTTCAGTCAGTTTTTTTTCATATTTTCAAATAAATTAAATTATTCATTCTGTACATGCCGTTTAAGCTGCGAAATAACCGCAATTGTCCCCGCTTTATTTGAATATCTGAGTGCGTATACCACCACCGTTTATGGACATTAACGCTTATTTGTATTTGTTTATATTTTGTTGTTGTCATTCGTATACGATGTTTCTCCTATTACTTAATATGGTTCACATACTCAAATGGAAATAAAAGGTAATCATCGGCCAGAGCCAACGAACGAACGACATTCATTCAGTCATTACCGCCGCCACTTGTTCGTTTCATTCTAAGCGGCCCAACAACAACAACATGCACATACCTTTCGACTTTTATTATACGTTTCGTAGTTGCATCTTCCTTCGTGCGTACACTTTTGGTAATGTATACTTATGTGTGGTTGGTTGTATATATTGGGGTGTTTCATATGATATCATATGTTTATTTAAATATTTTATTACATTCTATTGTAAATATGATTTATACTTTCATAATTGTTGATGCTTGAGCCTATGTCTTGGAATGTTTTGAGAGTGGGGTCCTGTTAATAATGTGGCCATTGTTTTTTAACTTTCGCCCAAACTTTATTATGTTAGGGCTGCATTACTCAGAGATACTCCGGTTCATTGTGATCATCCATGAAGAAAGTTGAAGAGTTATTGAAGGAGAAACGGGATAGAGAATACAGACAAAACTATGTTACGTGCTCAGAGTCTGCCCTGATATATCAGTGTCTAGTAATAACAGCCGTCATTACACGAATTTCAGCTTTGGTCAGGTTCAACAACAGTGAGTTTGTTCTTTTGGCTGGCAGAGTACGGAGTTGTTCTTTGTGCTCTTTCGTCAAATAACGTCTATATATTCGGGTGTTTGGATCGATAATTCTGGCAGTTTTATTTGGACAAGAGTGATCGTTTATCAAGTGACTGCCGCCATGCTAATGTATGGGAGTACTAGGTTAGTTCGTCTGACTTTATGAGAGGAAGTTTCAAACAGGTTTCCACAAAGCTGCAAGCTCTTTTGTTTACCATACAGTTTGGCATTTCTCCCCAGGGTTAATGAAAAGGCAGGAGGCCTTTCTTCCGGTGCGAATGGAAGAATATCACCCTCTACTACCTGCCTTATCCTTATTCCAAACTGTAGATGTCATCTGTTACATAACGATGAACATCTTCAGAGTACATGTTCAATTGTTTCCAGCTCTAAATCGTGAGAACTCTGGCCAGATAGTTTTGGAAAACCTACATCCAGGTTCTGTTGACCATCTGTTACCGCTTTCTCCTCAATCCTTTGACAATCTCTGCCACTTCCCGTATTGCCGTTATTAATTTCGGCTTGAAAACACTACAGAGATCGTTAACTTTATATGAGTTTTATATGACACCTGCAGCAGTGCCTTCCTCTGTCTGTATATATTCACAGGCCGGCCAGAGGTAAGGTGCCACTTGCCCAGGATTTCCTGCTAGGAAACTCTACTCTAATGTCATCAAAGTCATTATGGGAGAGAGCATAATCACTGATGTAAGTGCTCCTATTTACAAAAAAATACTAGCGTGACCAAAGTGCAGTGGCTATA